AAGCAGGAAATGAAAGCGCTCACACTGTCAAATTAGCCCCATACATATGCCACTGCCGATCGACGTGCATCGGGTTGGATGGGCAAATTATTGGTTCTACAGCTCACAGTAAACGCCAGTCTAGGGCACTGTTCTGCTCGGAAACTGTTTGAAATATCCTTTTCAATGGAATTCCCAGTCAATGTTGAACCGATCAGAATCGGGGGTTGCGCGCTCTTTTCAAAGGTTTCCTTTAGGGGTGTTCCCCTGGGGTACACTAATATACGAAGAACGAAATACAAAGAATGGAAACGTATGTACCGTCCTCTGTAGACTTTGGGCCTGATTGCTTGACACAAAAGCTTGTATGCTAGTGGATCGCTTTTGCAAGCGAAATATGAAAGTACCAAGTACCAGCTGAGCTAAGAACCGGACGAAAGGACATCCATTCTTCCCGGCTGTGTATAAATTTGCCTATGAGACAAAAGAGTCCAGCTCAGTGCGTTTAGGTAGCAATCTGCATTTGTACTGCCTCACTTACCCATCAAGCGAACAGTTGCATGAGGAGTGACAGGTGGGACGTAGCTGGGAGCTGCTGAATTCTTCAACGTGGAAGTTGCAGAATCCTGAAGGGGAAAAAAGAGAACAGCAATGAACCTTATGTGCCTGCCAACGGGCTAACGATTACCAGACAGGCTGGGCAGAAGAACAGAAAGATCACCGACAAATGACAACAGAAAATAAACAACCCCCTAACAGTGCGCACTGAGTGCGCGTAAAACGTAAATGGTTCTCCTCACACAGCATATACGGACGAGACAATGTGGAACTTCCATTACTGATCGAAATCCAGTTGGACAACCTGGTTCTCTACTTCGTTCACGGTGTGTCGCCAGAAACGACCTTAAATGAACGTTTGAGTCGACTTTTCTTTGGAGCAACTGGACACCGGGATGCGAGTAGAACCAGTGCAAAGTTGAACAAAAGATGACGAACATAAATTGAAGAACGGATGTATCAAACCTGGATGAAGTTCGTTCAACTTTAGCCTATCTAACCATGGGGCAATCTACATCACCTAATAGGAGGTACATGGCTTGACCAATCGGCAAGTGAGTAACTATATTTCAAGTAGAACATAAGGTTAACGGAAACCCGGGGACTGCGTCTACTTGATGAGCCCCAAAAAACCGGTCGTAGGCTATCGATGGATTTTCAGCAACCTTATGAGTAGTACATTACAAAGATAACTATATTCCTCTTGAACATAACGCGCAACGCGGTCATCAGATCAAATACCTTGGTAGGTTGGGGACTATTCAATTTCGATTCATCCTCGTGGCTGTGGGACACAAGTTCGACGTCACTGGATGGTTCAGCATTCGTCATTGCAAGATGCCCATCACTCTTGGATAGTCGCATGCTGGAAAACCCTTGATCCAGGGGAAGCGAATCCGGGAGCAGGTGAGTTGTTGACCCGGATGGTGCTGCACCACCAGAAGCTTGTCTCAACGTGCCTTCGCCATCCAACAAATAGGAGGTAAACTTTGCGTGACCCGGGATGGGAGGGGGCACGGTTACTTTTTTACCATGGACCATCAACACCACAGGATGGGAGGCGGACAAATCGGTTGCACTCTGTGGTCTGCTTTCGCCGGTGATCTGGTCAGACAAGATACTCGCGCAACTGGGAACACCAGAGGCAACGGCACTACCACTTAGATTTCCACTCGTACCGGAACAGGATAGGGAGCATCCGCTGCTTCTGGAATAAGGAAAATGTAAGAAGGGCAGAGTTGGGGGGGGGAGTTATAGTTGGGGGGGGACCAAAAAAGACAACAAGTAGGCAGCAAAACTCATCCGGCAACATGGTATAAATTACAAGCTAATCGGAATCAGGGAGGAACAGATGGGGTTATAGTACCCTGGGGACCAAAAAAGACAACAAGTAGGCAGCAAAACTCATCCGGCAACATGGTATAAATTACAAGCTAATCGGAATCAGGGCCTGAGGAACAGATGGCAACGCCGTACAGTGCTGAAAATCCATCCCAAGGGTGGACAAGCATTCTTCAATTACCGAATAAAACAAAATGACCAGTTTAGCCTTTCCAGCAAACAGCTTATTGGTTATTCATCGGACTAAAGGTGCGTTCCGACTACTTCAACCGGTTACAGTGGCACGTAGGACGAGGTCACCGCAATCCGACAGGGTTATGGGCTAACGAACTACCAGAAGAGTTACAGAAATTGGCATACAGTGGCTGATCAAATGGCTACCCTTCCTACTAGAACGTTCAGCTGTAGCACCCTTTTGGTGTCTAACTGCCATGCGACCCGAAGGTTGCACGAGGGCCAGGATACTGCCAAGCCTAGACGGGGCGAGATGGTCCAAGTGGTTAGAGCGCGAATTTACTGACCGCAAGGTCCATGGTTCGAACCCTAGCTCAGCCTCTCGACTTCCCCTGTCTAGGTTTGGGCAACCTGGCAGTATCTCAGCCCTCGTGAAACTTTTGGGTGGCACCGAGAGGGTGCTACACATGAACGGTTCAAGTTTTAAGTTTAAGCCTAGACAGGGGAAGTCGAGAGACAGAGGTCGGATTCGAACCATGGATTTTTCGGTCAGTAAATTCGCGCTCCAACCACTAGCAACCGGAAGGCATGCGAGACGAATACGCTAACCTAGTCAACGCACTCATCAAGCGCGAGGGGATGAGTGCAGGTGAAAAAAATCGGGAGTGGGAACTAAAGCGAAATTCGATCAGGTCGAGGACCATGACCACGGGATCAACTTCTACATCGAAAATTCTTCAAATTCAGTAAGATGTATTATAAAGCCAAAAGCATCCACGGCCTCATACGTCCATTATAACCAGGCTGAGAATGGATGATGCACATGTCTAATAGCGAAGGTGAACTCATGATGCCTGCTTGTATCCCATAAGTAGGCAAACGAAAAAAAGTCACTCACCGACCACTGCTTCGTTCATCAGAGCTCGTACCAGAGGTCCGAGGTGGAGCACGAGAAGATCCAGTACCAAATCCATCTAGTTGAGCAGGCTGGACTGAGATCTGACCACTGGTTAAGGTCCCGGTGTTTGTGGAGGCTACGGAACCGGAATCCAGGTGTTGCGGCATCTCCGTACCGTCTGGGATAGGGTACGGAGTATCTACGGAAGATGATACTTCCGGGATAGTTGAGGCATGGGCCCAACCTCCAGGAGCGTACGGGTCAGGGCTAGAGATGGTGGTGTACACTACGCCATTCTCACTCGTCCGCCTACCCGGACCGATCGGACGGTCAAAACTGTCATGACGTTTCGAACTGAGTTCCAAGAGACTGGCCACGCTGGACCCATGTAGTTCTGGTACGTTTGCGCCCGGACCGCTGTTAGTGGTACAACTGCTTCCACGGCCACTGCTGCTGCTGCCGGCAGCGGAGCGTGGCATGCCAGCGGTGGATGTGATGACACTATCCCCAACAGTGAACATGCCATTGCTAGACTCCAGACCGGAGGCAGGAAGATGGGAAAAATGGTGAGAATGATGAGACGATCGGAGTGAGCCGGCATCAGAATGAGCGGTGATATTGGCACTTTGTGATGACATGGAAAATGACCGAGAGGCGGTGTTCATGGACTCAAGGGATCCGAACGAATCTGAAAAGAAGCGGATAGAAAAGGGCTCATCTGAATGTAGTCTTACATGGAACAAAGAGAACTAGCTTCGACTAGGGGCGATTTTGTTCTTGATCGGATCATGACAGCCACATTAATAACCCCGTACACAGATTGCCCCACCAGTGGCTTACACAGGGTAGGTGTTAGGCAGGAATCCACACGGATCCTGCTATACCGCACGTCTTTAGGCGCTGCTACGGCCGATAAGCCCGGCCCGCTCGAGGTTGGCCCAGAATTCGGGACGCTTGCCGGTCCGGCATCAAGACGAGATCTGATTGGTCAACAATCTGGACCCAACAGCCAATCATGACCCAGTATTGGCCAAATACCGTATCCAGAACGCGTCAGAAATTCCAGAAAGCTATAACCGCTTACGCTATATATACGAAGCGCTGTACAACTGTTCTTGACTTCG